TTCCTTTGCTATTTTGAGCCATTTAGACATTTCACGAGAACTTCGATTGGTTCCTACTCGTGCGCGATTCGACCTATATCAATCCTTTTGAGCTGAATCGCTTTATAAATAGCGTAGGTCATACTTGGAGTACGAAATGTTACGAATTGTATCTGTTTTACCACCTTTTAGGTGAACTGGAATCAACCCGTCTTGGTCGGCCAACCAGCCGAGGATGGCAGTGGTCGGTGTTCCCTTGAAGCTGGAGTGATCTTGAGCAATCCGGCTATGCAGAAATTGATACAGTTAGTTCTTTTTTAATCCTGCATCTTTCCACGAATCTTCCTAACACCTAAACAATCACCTTGAACTCCCAAGTCCCGTTTCCATATAGCCTGGGCATGTTCGTATCTTGATATTACTTTTGTGCCACAGAGGTCTGATAAGTGGTTTTTATTCCCGATCTCGGCCCAAAAAAATAAACCTATCGACGCCTTCCTTTTCCACCGAGCCCTGAAAATGGTCCAAAATGTCATATGACTCAACCCTACCAAAAATCACCCTATCGGGACCAGATTGGAAACAAAGACCACTTATCAAACCTAAGTGGCAAGTAATTTAAAGAGCGCGATTTTGTCTTTTTTCACTCTACTATGTTAACTAAGCTTGAATATCTGCTGCTCAAAACCCCGTTCTAGACAGCGACATGCTTGCAACCTACTCGCCAGTGGTTCTGATGCTGACCAACTTGCTTTCGAAAAGTGCTTGCAGCTAGCTACCAATTTGTCTTGTGTCAGTGAGTACCAAGTGAGTTCGTGCGTTCCATCCTTTTCTGTCTGGTTTGCACCAATTTTTGTCAAAATCTGTTTTTTTAGGGTCAAACTTACAATGTTTGGCACGTGGATGGTACACAAACTGCTCACGATGCGATCGACAAATGGCGCGCCCACGAAGCTTTTAATAAATCAATTGCCGTTACGAAATTGCTATCGGATGCTGATGCATCTGCACTTCACGACCATTTTGTTAGCGTGGAAGTAGCGAAGTGAGTGAAGCAAATTTCATAACAACGAATCATTCACAAGTTTTGATGTCAAGGGTTGATGCTGAAATTGCCGCAATGG